TTGTAGAATTCATCACATCAACGTAAACTATATAATGAACTTTCTTCTAACTTAAGCACTGCATTTGATGTGTTATCTTTGCCTATTTTTTATCAATATTAAAAGTTCGGTTTTCAAATAAATCGACGGATTACAAAAATCGTGCAGATTTTGTCCCATTTTACGATAATTTTAGGCTTGCTATTGTCGTGCTCTTTTGTCACAAATGCACTTTTGAACCTTTTTGGCAAAATTGCTTTCTCATAAATTGCGCTGAACACGTTATGAATACTTAATCGACGTGAAAACAACAACGAAAACAGGGAAGCGGACAGAGATGTAGTAAGTTTCTTCTAAACAAACGTATTATCCATACAGTTTCTTCCGGGTGCGTAGTCCAAAACTGACGTAGATAAAGTTCCATGTCATGCTATAAAAGTGATAAGTAAATCAAGCAACATATGCTCTGCAAAAGAACTTATTATTGGTGACTCATGCAAGCTAAACTCAAAAGAAGCAAAAGTGAACTTGACAACTGTTTGATGGTAATTATCAAAATTCTACACGTACAGATAAAGTATGGAACAATAGCTATTGGAAACTATTCATCCTCCCATCGTCCAGGGAGCCGTAAATAAAAATCGAAACAAAGCCAGCTTCAGAGTAAATTGTATAGTTCAAACCTCAAAAACACAATTTTTTAAAGCATTTTGCAGAATAGTTTTTGCTAGTTCTTGCGTTGAAGTTAAGCCAGAGTCCAGTCTGAAATCATTTAGAAATGGGTTGTGAATTTAAAATAAAATGGAGGACAAAACGTACTTGAATGTTTAAAAAAAACTAAAATGAAACAAAATAAAAAGCAACAAATGGATCTAAGTCAGTGGGTAGAGCAATATAATTTTAAATGTAATAACTGAAGGGAAAATTTGTTTATTTTAAAGTAGAAAGGAACCTTTTAGTGAACCTATTCCAATCAGCGAAAGTTGTAAGGAGCAAAATCGGTTTTGATAGATTTACTATGAAGAAATTAGATTTAACCAACTCCAATCAATTTTTTTCAACGGGTTTTCTATTAATGACAAAGTGATTTCAAGAGCATATAAAACAAATTCTTGCATCTTATACATAAGAATGTGAATTTCCTTATCATCTCTCTGCGACTCAAACCATACAAGGTAGTGGCTAAAGCTTTCGTAAGAATTTCAAAATCAACTCCAAAAACTCAAAACAATCGTCAAACCGTTTAATAATTTTATAATATTTATCAGTGATGCAAAAGCTGACGATTTTTCTGAACCTATTAAAAGAGTTGTAGGATCTCGAGGGCTCATAAGTTCATCCCATTGAAACATTATCTTTTTCGTTTAAAATATTATTAAGAAGAAATCACAATAATGCTAGAATAGGCTATAATAATCGTAATACTTCGCGTTAAATTTTCGAAATATTCGTGAGAAAGAATTATATGTTATGGATACTATTAAAGGGGGAAAGAAGGAGGTATTACAAATTCCCAATGTAAGCAAAGATATCCTATTTGACTTTTATCTTAATAATCAAATCGTGAATATTTTCTAGTACAAACTAACTTTTGCAATTTTTCAGCATGAACTACAACTTTCCCCTGGACTAGATCTCTTACCCGGTAGTGTATGAATGCGTTATACCACCCAACCTTCTTGGCATCCACATAAGTGGCAGCCGAGAAACGGGTTTTTTTTCTAAGCAATATTATTTCGTAAATATTGTATTACTGTAGATTTATTCATATTTTTAAGAAATATAATTGGTCTAGCAATATTTTTTTCAGTTTCTTTCCGGTTCGCAAAGAAAAAGATTACGTAACATTGCTTTTTTGGCTATTTTGATTGTATCGAAATATTTTTGCAAAAGCATGAAGAACTAAACATATTTCTGACTGTAGGAATGTTTTGACCTTTTAGGAAAGATATTTGGAAGATTTTCAATGTACAGTTCTTGCTATCTAATTTTGTATATAACTTCTTTTTTAAGTTTATATAGAAAAATGCGAGTAGGTGTGATTTGAATTAAAAGAGAAATTAGACGATGCACTGATGCTGCATGCAAAATGAAGTATACACCAATAATATAAAAAAATACTTCAATTTTCTGTTGAAAAGGTTTTGAGAGAAACTTAACAGACTCCTGCTGCCACTTGACTTCTCTAACGAACAGATTGTACAGACTTTATTTCTATAAGCTATTAGACGGAGAAAAACATGGATGCTGGAATGCTGGCTGATAGTTTGCTAATTTTGTTGGGGATGACAACCCGCTTTTCCCAGAAAAACCTTCCATAATTGGCTTAATAGAAGT